AAGATCTGTCATCACCCAGCTCGGTCAACAACTCCGCAAGGCTCCATCCAGCGAACTTCCAGAACTTCAATGGGAATAACCATCCAAACCTTCGATAGACAACTGGGAGCTCTCTCTCTCTGTCTCTCTCTCTGGATTCTCTTCCAACCAGTTCAATCGTTCATAGTTGTAAACGAGCTATCATAAAGAATACTTGCATATCTTCCAATAATCATTCCGTCCCTCTTGGAGCAGCGTTGTGGTGGCGTCTTCGAAGACGCTGCTGCTTTTATTCGATTCGTGATTCGGTTCGAACTACTGGTAGAACGAATCGAATGATGAATCGAAAGGGCCAACCATCTGGAATCACAATCACTGAACCAAACATACAAACAGGAACGATGAGATAACAAAGGTTCAGAGTCTTGGCTACGGTACTGCTGGGAATTATGTAGTAGCCAAGGGTGACCACGCATGAGGTGGTGGGATAGGCAACATGCGGTGCCTATGGGGCGTGTGATGACTAAGGAACACCTTTTCGTTACAGTACTTGGGCTGCAACCCTCCCGCCGGTTTTTGTTTTGTTTTGAAGTAGGTCTGTCTTTGGTTCATGTACTGGTGCAGTAGCCACACAGCAAGCCTCTCTTTTTATGTGCCCCGGTTAGAGCCAGCACATGTACCTTACTTACTATTAAAAATAGAGCTCACCAGACCCTGACTGCCCTTGCTGTCTTGCAGTTCAGCTGGTTTATTTTGGAATCCACTCCATCGGTGATGTGGAATAGAAATATGACCATTTTTGTGAACACGCCTGTTAATTAAAGTAACTAAGTGCATGCGCCTTCGGAGAAGTGCCGTGTATGCTTACTAGCTAGTAGTACTGATCAAGCTTTGAGTAAATCTCGATTTAAGTCAACACGATCTATTTAGGGGATGTACTTTTTGAGAGTCATTTGTTTGGAAAGCGCGACAACGGGGAGGATTGAGCTGGATTGTGTATGAAGATATCCTCCACTTTCCAGCTTTCTGCTGAGAGATTCAACATGGATAGAACAATGGATATCATCAACTGAAGAGATGGAGATCGGACGCCCGACTTCGTATAGTTCCTTTGTCACCGACACACCACTTCATTAAATTTTATACCAGTTTGCTGTACCTCTGTGCTCTTTCATGGCTCCTTTGGTGTTTCGTTCGCAGCTTCAGTACAACTCGAAATATCTTCAATCTTTTTCCTTCAACTTCCTCTGATCTCGGAGGCTCAAACAATTTGGGAAAACGATGTAATCCCCTAAAGTCTCAATGTATGACTTTAATAATTGTCTTCATTCTCCCAAAATACTTGGGGGATCATTGTTTGAAGGCGGGGAAGTGAGGCATTCCTCGGAGAAGTACGGCTGTAAGGAACTGAGCCGACTCACCGGGACTTCACTTCATTTATACCGGTGTGCTTTCTTGGACCTTTCGTCTTCATTCGGGGCTCGTAAGATCCTTGCTCATCAAGCTCACAAAATCAACATTCCAAGCCAAAAAGCAATCCACAAAGCACTACCTACCAAGCAGCCAAAACAACAAAAGATGGTTTTTTTCTCTGATCCTGCCGCTTCCAGTGTCGCTCAAGATGCTACTAGTTTCTTTGCCTTGGACGGAGGCGATGAAACCTGCACAGCACCTCGAAGGAAAAGCAGCCTACGCAAGCTCATGGATTTCTCGGCTGCCTCCAACTCCTCCGAACTTGGAAGCACAAAAAGATCTTCTCGCAAGTCAAAGATTCGTCGCAGCCAATCTACTGTCAGCAAGAATTCCAATAGTGCCGATATGCAACAACATCTCGAGGCGATGGAAGCATTCTGCCAAGCCTTGCAAGATGTTGGAAGCAAACAACGAAACAAGATCCTTCGCCAGTCCATGATGAGGGCGCACTCCATGAGAAAGCTTGTTTCCGCATAATTGCAGCTACTGTGCGCCTTCCCCCTTTGATAGATTGTTCCAATAACATTACATATAAGTACGAACCAGTTTTATTTCCATTCCATTTATCTTTGTTTCCGTAAACGGGACATGCAGCTAGCTAGCCGGGCCTTGCCCTATGGCAATTTCAAGGATGAAGATATATATGGGAAAGCCTCCACCGAAGAAAAAAATTGAGTTACGATAAGCTTACAGTAGGCGTGGAACAAGAACACATCAGAACGCGGCTGGGAAACAAATTCCCAGCGTACCGGTACCTTGCTTGCATGTTCCTCTAACAATCACAGAGAGCTTCACAGAGTCTAGTACTGGCTTCTTAGTAGAATACCGTGATGAGTAAGCTTTGCCCACAAATGCCTTTATTGTATGAACCTGCAGCCACCGGTATCGATAGGGCTACCGGAGGAAAGGCCAGCCAATCAGTACACGTAGCTACATGTACGTGTGGTACCGGACATGTACCATACAGACCACCACTGCGCACCTCCAAGGGCGATGTGTGCGGTTTGAGATCTGAGATCTTAGATCTGGCTAGCGCTACTACTAGTAGTAGTAATATCTTCGGATATTTTGTCGTTGCGTGATCTTCAGCTTGCACCAGTAGCCACCACACCAGTAATACCGAGGGAACAAGGGACGGAAGCGGAGAAGCTCAGTTGCCACAGCTGAGTGAGCAATTCCTTTCAAGGCAACGGAAGAACCATTGCAGCTTGTGTGGGCAAGGATCCAAAGATCCGCCTGCATCCAACCGGAAGCTGGAAAGGGATTCTCCGAGGCGCTCGGAACTGCTGATTGTTCGTCGCTATGGCTGGG